AAAATGTACCTCTTTCCTCTTAATAAAAATGTACCTCAGACTGTGCCTGGCACATTCTGCTGTTCTCGGCTTAGTCAGTGCATGTCTGTAGTTCCTTGGGAAGAGAATCCAAGCTGTCTGTGCCTCTCCAGCTCTGAGCACTGTGCTTTTCCCTGAGAAGCATTCCGTGCCCCCCACTGAAGCATGCCACGATGAGAAGGTGGTCACAGAGGGCAAAGGTGTCCACACTTAACAGAACTCACCACCAACCAACCTTGTACAGGCAACCAACCCCACCACAGGGAAGCTCCTCCCTTCTGCTGCTTCATCAAGAAACCTTATTTCCTCTATATATCCTGTTAATTATTAGAATGTTCCTTAAGCTGCTTTTGTGCCATGAGTTTGTTTGAATTCCGTGGTTTTTTTGTTTGTTTGTTTGTTTGTTTTAAAGGGAAGGAAAAGGAGGGAAACCAGCCAGCCGGCCTCTCTGGTTTTCTCTATGAATTCACCCAAACTTCCCCACTAGGCATCCGAGCTTCACAGGACCATCCCCGCTGTAAGGAAGTTGGAGCAGCGGAATGAGGAGGAAGAGCCAGGGCGTCTGGCTCTGAACGGATACTCCGTTTACCTAACGTGGGTTCCCAGGACCCCCAGCTTCCCTCAGGACTTCTTGATAGCAGATGTTATTCACTGCTTTATTCCTACTCTCTAGCACAGTGCTCAAAACCCTGCAGATACCCATGTTTCCTAGACAAACAAATGCATTTGGCAAAGCAGTCCCATCAGAACCTGGACCCGGTCGGGGCGCCTGGATGTCTCAGTGGGTTAAAGCCTCTGCCTTCAGCTCAGGTCATGATCCCAGGGTCCTGGGATCGAGCCCCACATCGGGCTCTCTGCTCAGCAGGCAGCCTGCTCCCCCCCCCCGCCCCCGCCGCTCTGCCTACTTGTGATCTCTGTCAAATAAAAAAGAACCTGGACCTAGGGCTTCTGCCCCCCGGTTTCCCCTTTCCTCCCCACCGGTCACTCTGTAAAGAGGGAACTTGCTCCTGAAGGTTAGGGCAGAACAGATAAGGAATGCGTGGGCAAGAGGAAGGCTCTGTGAGCCCAGCAACAGGTGGGATGAGCCTTAACCGCCCTCCTTGGCTGCACCTGGAGTGACGTCAGGGATGGAATGGCCCTCAGGATGGCAGAAGGTGGGATCAGCAGTGTGGGACAGGAAAGCTTTCACTTCGTGGCTCCCTCCTGCCCTCTCTCTGCAGAATTTCCACTTCTAGTTCTACCTGCTCCGCTCCTCCCCTTTCCCACCCATCTCCCCAGTACAAGGGAAGGTTGTGCCCCACCCCCACAGGGCTCTCTCCAGGGGCCTGGCGTCAAGCTTCCTTGTCAGCCAGCTGCTTCCTCCTGTCCTGACCCCAACGTTGCGAAACTAATGCCACAGCCGGACTTTAGACTCCCTGCTTATCAGGGAGTCCCAGACAGATGAATTCTGGGTTTTCAATGCCTGGACAAGCCCAGTATGCATCCACTCACGTGGCTTCCCACCATCCGCCCCCGCACAGTGCTGTACCCTCTTTCACAATTACATCTGACAAGTGGTCATCCAGACCTTTCCTGAACCTCTGAAAAGGAAACAAATGAGTTTAGAGGCCCCCACAGTCTCTCAATGCTAACAGATGTGAAAACTATGCTCCATTATTTCCTACTCAATTGTGCAAAATGGGTGTAGCTTTTCAATCTACAATCTTCAATCTTGAGCAAAGGTGTCAGCCCTTTCGGTGTCCACAGAACAGGTGGCCCTTGACTGGGTGACTTGGGAGGGGCATAGTGGGCAGCGGTGGGATCTTAAAGACCAAGACCACAACGCCCCTAATGCCAACCGGGAAAGACCTCCAGGGCATCCAAAGTGAAATAAACAAGGTGCCTGAGGTAACACGATGTCTGTAGTGTGTATCAATGTATCAACCTGTTCTAAGTAAATAAAACTTTTTTATTTTTTTATTTACAGGTGTTCTACCCCAAACCAAAACTGCCCTGGAGACCCCAGACACGCCCAGGTCACAAAGACACTAGCGAGAAACACCGAGAAGTGAAAGCATCCTGGAGCCAGGAGGTACAGACAGAGGGAGGCACTGGAATCCCACCACCGCGCATCTGCACATTTCCCAGTTCCTAGTTCCGGCTGAGTCCGTCAGCCACTAGGTTTCAGGTTTCGAGGGACCGTCTCCGGTGAGTAAATTCAGCTGGCTAGCAGAGGGAGGGAAGAGTAGAAGTGACTCACTAGTTGTAGTTGGAGGCAAAGCTGAACAGCAAAGGTGAAAGGGCCTGAGTCAGAAGCATCAGCGGAGGAGACCAGCACTCAGACTGACTCAGACACAGGGCAGCAGCTCCTGCCTTCTGGAATGTCAGGTGGGGTCCCCCACTCAAGTGGGATTGGGGGAGAGAACAAGGGTTCCAACCCAGGTTCTCCTTCTTCCCCTTGGTTACATGAGAAGTCATGCTATTCACACATGACCCTGTGCCAGGGAGATTGCTGGAAACTTTTCCAAGTGCAGGCTCCCCAGGGAGTGGGAGACTTCTGGTCACTGGTTGTGCTTTCCCAGACCCCATTCCCTCAGTATGAGGGCTCCAATTCCTGGAGCAGCTCAGGCTTTCCTCTCCACAAGGCTTCCCAGGCTGGGGTTGGGCCTTTGCTTGACGTGATCATACCCTGTCCTTTCTTCCTCCCTGATGGCAGAACCCACGATGAGCAATAGCCATGGTGGGAGAAGAAGGAACACAAGGGCACCCACATATGCTCCAGACATCCCAGGTCCGGAGGACGGACCAGACACCCAGGAGAGAGCCTTACCTTTGTAACCTTTGCCATTTGGGATCTAGCAGGGGGAACCTTGCTTCCTTTGACCAACTCTCCTGGGGCAGTATTATTTCCTCCTCACAAAATCCAAAGGGGTTAACAGCTGCCCAATAATAGTCATCCCTTCCTGTACATGTAATGTAGCTATTATCCTGGTTGACCCAAAGGACAAGTATCATTACTCCTGCTCCACAGATGGAAAGACTGGGCACTAGCCTAAGATCACAAATAAGGCAGAGAGCCAAACTAGAACCCCGTGAGGTTACCTGATTCCTATTTCCATCCTCACTGTACTAATCAAATCACTCCCCCCGGGATCCAGCCGGATTGAAATGTGACATGGTTACTTCCCAGGACCCACAGTCCTGTCCAGCTAATGAAACATTGCCTCAGGCTCCATTTGAATCCCTGAACAGACTAGAGGACACTCCCAAGATCAGGATGGGGGCTATCCCAACTCTTTCTGTGCCAGTATGTGCTTATTGGGGTAAGTCACAATGCCGAAAATGAGAGAAAAAAGAAAGAGGAAAAGGAAGAAGGATGCTGGCTTCGGGAAGCTTGTAAGCCCAACACACACGGTCAGACAGTGCAAATGATGGGAAACTTCAGGCCGTGGTGGGGGAGGGGATGGGAGGTTGAGTATCACCAGGAGGACCACCCAGAACCAAAGAAGGACCATGGGTGTCCTGAGCAGTTCGAAAATACAGGCAGAAGTAAGAAAGGTGAAGAATAGGAAAAGAGCAGCAACTCAATCAAAGAGGAAAGTGGAGGCTGAAAATGAAAGGGACAGGGCAGAGAAGGTAAGAGAGCAGACCCAGGGGCATTATCCCAAGCTGATGTTTGAGATCATGGTTCCTGTGCCACAGGGTGCTTGAGATGCTGGATCCAGCAGTGGAAAAAGGAGAAGGGGTTCAGGAAAAATTGGTTCCATTCCCAGGTCCTTTCGTCAATCTGGAAAAGTCATTTCCCCTCTTTGGACCTATTTCCGTATCTGTACAATAGGGAGAGGATCAGACTTGCTTCTGGTCCAGTTTACCCCAAGAGCTTCTGTTTTTGTGAAAAGGGACAAAGGAGCTGTCTAAGAGCAGGGAATCCATTTCCACCCTTCAAAACAACAAAATGAACTGCCCTATAACCACCGATGCTGATTGTGACTGTTCATTTCTTTTACATTTCCTAAAGCACGGACCTCGAGGGAAAAACAAAGATTCCTACAGATCACATACACAAGAATCCACGGAGGCACGGGCACTCAAGAATCTGACAGATCCAGCTGGGGACACGGACTGCCTCACGAGGTGACCCTAACCACACACTCGGTCCCGCCCAAACCTATCTATAGACGGCGGCGTGCCCCCGCAAGTGAGCCTCATTGTTCCACAGGAAAGGGAGTTTACAAAGGAAACAAAAACTCCCAGGAGCGGCTGGGGGAGGGCAGAGCACCGGCTCTGAGAAGGATCCAGCCAACCCACAGGCAGGTCCTCCCCCTGGGAATAGTCACTCCGTCAACAACACTTAGGAAGGACTCTCGAGGTAGCTACCCCAGGAAGGAACTTGAAGTCCCTGCTCTGAGAAAAGCGCTATTTCAAATTTATCTCCTCTTCGGAGTTTGCACCCAGACACTTTTCCCAGAGCAACCACCGCCACCCCAAAGATCCCGGGGAGCTAAAGAGAGCCCCTCAGCAACAGCCAGGCAAAGAGATGCCCACCGCACCTGACCTCCATTAGACCTTCCCTGAGGACAGTCAGCGGTGCCAGGCTCAGGCTTCTCTCGGGTTGTGCGCGTTGGTCGGGCGCCTGCTGGGGGGCAGGATGGCCCTTCCCAGGCGCGTGTGGAGGGGCACGCCTGGGTGGATGTGCGCAGGGCTCCCCCCAGTGAGTGAGGCTGGGGAAGGTGGGGTTACCCCCTCCGTAGTTTCTGGCCGCGTGCGGAGGCCGCGGCCCCCTCCCGGGGGGTCTAAGGGGACGGGTGTGGGGGAGGGGAGCCAGCCAGCGCCAGAGTGAGGGGGAGGGAGGCAGGGGAGGGTAAGGATGGAAAGGGGGACCAGAAGGGTGAGGCTGGCAGGTTTCTCAACTCCTCCCCTCCCGCGGGCGAGAGGCGTGGGGAGCGCCCCCCTCCAACCTCTGCCCCGACCCACCGATTCCTCCCGAAACTCCGGGAACTTACACAGGATGACCGATGTGAAGAGAAGCAGCTGCTTCCTCCCGGCTCTCGTCTCTGTCCCCATGACGATCAGGGTCCCGACGCGACGCGGCCGCAGGAGCCCCGCGCAGAGACACAGCTTCAGCCACCGCCGCTCCGGGACTAAACTCCGGCCGCCAGGTTGGGCTCCGCCCGGCCCCGCCCCCAGCGACGACTGGCCGGCGCCCCGGCCCTGCGCGTTCCGATTGGTGGAGGGAGCCGCCACTCCGTTGAGTGACTCACCGCCGCCAGGTGCGACCTCTCGCACTCGGAGCGCCGGGCGCCCTGCCAAGCCCCAGCCGCCTCTGATTGGCCCAGGGGACTGTCGCGTCAGGAGGCCGGGGCTCACCTTCCGCAGGTGAGGACACCCTGATTGGGCGGCGATCCTGAAGTAGGGACTTTCCGACTGGCTGGGGCCTGAGGGAGAGCGGGGCGGGGGGGTGGAGGGGATACCTCGAAGGAGGAGGGAGGGGAAGCGGTCGACCTGCACCCGCCTCGCTGTGTTTTCCTCGGTGTGTGTTTGTTTGGGTGTAAACTGCCGGGGGCCGTACAGAACCGTTGGCCGGTGAAAAACACACATTCATAGGCAGCGGTGGGGGGAGAGGGGGCGCCTGGGTAGCTCAGTCGTTAAGCGTCTGCCTTCGGCTTGGGTCCTGATCCCGGGGTCCTGGGATCCAGCCCCGCGTGGGGCTCCCTGCTCAGCGGGAAGCCTGCTTCTCCCTCTCCCACTCCCCCCTGCCTGAGTTCCCTCTCTCGCTGTGTCTCTCTCTGTCGAATAAATAAGTAAAATCTAAGTCAACCAGAGAAAGACAATAATTACATGATCTCTCTGATAGGAGGAATTTGGGGGGGGGTAGGGATAGGGTAGCTGGGAGATGGACCCTGGGGCGGGTATGTGCTATGGTGAGTGCTGAGAGAAATGTGTAAGCCTGATGATTCACAGACCTGTACCCCTGGAGCAAATAATACATTATATGTTAATAAAAATAATTTTTTTTTAATTTAAAAATAGATAAATAAGTAAAATCTTTTAAAAGGTGGGGGGGGATGGGGAGAGGACTGGGACGGAAGTGGAATGATACCTTGACAGGACTCTCCAACGCAGTCCTCTGTCGACCCCATTCACAACATTAAGTTTGGAGGGGACTACACAGAAGAAGGGAAGGGAAGAAGAAGAGGAAGGGAGACCGCAGCCCAAAAGTGGGAAAAGCAGGATTATATTCTCTCAAGAACTTTCAACACCCAATATATACACCAGACACACCCAGGTAATAAAAATGGACCTACAGACAGATGTTCTGTAAACATCGCTGTGAGTGACGGCAGTTGTCCCGTACACATGTTCCATCCATCAGCAGAGCCCTGCATTTTAAAATTGTTGTTCTCTCTGTGACTAAGAGTTGGGTGCTCCGCCCCCTCTTGCCAGAGACTGTGTTAATACTCGAGCTTCCTCTTATATTATTGTGTCGCTTTTAATTGAAACTCATGCTCAACATCTTTACTGTTTCTAGCTTTTATTTTACAATGATTTAATTTTTTAAAATATTTTATTTATTTATTTGACAGAGAGATCGCAAGCAGGCAGAGAGGCAGGCAGAGAGGGGGAGGCAGGCTCCCCGCTGAACAGAGAGCCCAATGTGGGGCTCAATCCCAGGACCCTGGGCCCATGACCTAAGCCGAAGGCAGAGGCTTTAACCCACTGAGCCACCCAGGCGCCCCTACAATGATTTAATTTTAACCGATCTTGCCTGTTGGACAAATTCCTGAACATTATTGCATTGCAAGAAGCCCACACCCTTATGCAAAATGGTAATATTTTTCAACCTTTTGCTTCTTGCACTTTTGCTATCAATCCTTGGTCCGCTCTAGTTCCACTCAATTTAAAACAATGGTTATCCGGGCACCTGGGGGTCTCGGTCATTAAGCTCTGCCTTTGGCTCAGGTCATGATCCCGGGGTCCTGGGATGGAGCCCCGCATTGGGCTCCCTGCTTCATGGGAAGCCTGCTTCTCCCTCTCTCACTTCCCCGGCTTGTATTCCCTCTCTCGCTGCGTCTCTCTCTGTCAAATAAATAAAATCTTAAAAAAATAAAACCGTGGTTATCAAGCGCCTGGTGGGTGCTATAGGGAAGTAAAAACAGATAAATATAAATCACGGTCTTTGACTTCAAACGGCTCACTCTCTACTTTCAAGACTTAATACAGGAAACAAGACAATATGTTACCAAAAGAAACCTCATGTTACTAAATCGAAACAAATCCTTGGGTGCCTGCCATGTGCAAAGTTCTGTTCTTTACCCTCAAAGGAATGTAGCCTTGAGATACAAGGAGAGGGAAGAGCGGGGGAGGGAACTAATCACTGGGGGCTGTGCATGTCAGAGAAAACTTCAAGATGGGGAACTTGAGCAGGAGGGTAGAGGAGCTCCAATACTGATCTGGAGTCTTTAGCAGGAAGGGTCATCTTAGAGGTTGAGTCATCTTCTTGCCCTAGATAGGAAGGTCCATACAACCACAGAGAGTTTATACAGCCTCTGCTTAAACTCTTCTGAGAACTCTTAAGGCGGACCATTCGGCTTTTTGTACAACTCCTTTTTTTTTTTTTTTTAAGATTTTATTTATTTATTTGACAGAGATCACCAGCAGGCAGAGAGGCAGGCAGAGAGAGAGGGGGAAACAGGCTCCCTGCTGAGCAGAGAGCCCGATTCGGGACTCCATCCTAGGACCCTGAGATCACGACCTGAGTTTAAGGCAGAGGCTCAACCCACTGAGCCACCCAGGTGCCCCAGTACAACTCTTAACTGTTAAAATGTCCTTTCTGGAATCTGCTTCCTAGTAACTTCCAGCCTCTGCTCTCTGGAGTTAGACGAAATCATCTCATTATTCTTTGCCAGTGACAACTCTTCCTTCAAATATTTTAAGATTCTTTTATGAGCCTTCTAAGTCTTTCCTTCTCCAAGCTAAACATCTTTAAATCCTTCAAAGAGTTTTCATTTGGTATGGTTTCAGAAGTCTCCCGCTCACCCCCACTCCCCCCTACCCCCCCCCCCCCCTCACGCCCCAACCCCGATGGGTCTGTAGATAACCTCTTGTGTTTTACTCTACCAAGATCTGAGCCAGGCACTGGAGAAACCACCTCTCCCTGAGAGGGACAGATCTCAATTCAAATCCAATCCCCGGCTTCTAGCTAGTCTTCGGCCAGCTCACATCTCTGAAAATTTCTGCATCCCGAAAGTAGCTATGATAGTAATACCTTCCAGCAAAACAAGGATTAAATAATATCACATATATAATATGCTCAGCGCAGCACATGGTCCATTTTAAGCCCTGCCATGATGGCTGTTTCCATCACTTGTACTTACAGCAAGAGAATGTGGTCACAATTATAATAACCCTATCACACCACTGAGTTATCGACAGTCAACTTGTGGCAAACTAAAAGCCACAAGTGAAAATAATTATTTTCTCTTGGACTACTACTAAAGTCAGGTCTTCCACACCCTATACTTGGGCAGTTGTTTCTTTTTTTTTTTTTTTTAAGATTTTATGTATTTTTTGGAGAGAGAGAGATTGTGAGAGAGGGAACACAAGCAGGGGGAGTGGGAAAGGGAGAACAAGTGCTGTTGTTCCTTAATTAAAGTACATTTGCTTTTAATCTTATTCAATTTCTTTTTTTTTTTTTTTTGCTTTGAAAATGAAATATTAAGAAAAGTAGACATAAAAGTACTGTCAATGGGGAGCGCCTGGGTGGCTCAGTGGGTTAAGCCACTGCCTTTGGCTCAGGTCATGATCTCAGGGTCCTGGGATCGAGCCCCACATGGGGCTCTTTGCTCAGCAGGAAGCCTGCTTCTCTCTCTCTCTCTCTCTGCCTGCCTCTCTGCCTACTTGTGACCTTTCTCTGTCAAATAAATAAATAAAATCTTTGAAAAAAAAAGTACTGTCAATGATTAAAATTAAATGAAAAAAGTAAATACAAATAGTATATATCCTCGTTATTTCTATACAAATACTTGTGTATAAGTATAAAGCATGAAAGTAATTTTGGAGCGTGCAAATGATTTGATATTCTCCAGGTTCCTTTTCCCATAAAGTTGCTTACATAAATAATAAGTTCATAAATCTCATTGTCATTGACATTTCTTTCTTTTTTTTTTTTTTTTTTTTTAATTTGACAGAGATCACAAGTAGGCAAAGACATAGAGAGAGAGAGGAGGAAGCAGGCTTCCTGCCGAGCAGAGAGCCCGATGCGGGGCTCGATCCCAGGACCCCGGGATCATGACCTGAGCCAAAGGCAGAGGCTTTAACCCAATGAGCCCCAGATATTTGTTTCTTATAGTGTTTTTTTCATTCCTTTTGGGAGGGAGCAATCCAAATGAGACACAATCTTATAGTCTTTTTTTTTTTTAAGCTTTAATTTATTTATTTGAGAGAGAACACCAGCTGGAGGAAGGGCAGAGGGAGAGAGAGAAGCAGACACCCCACTGAGGTGGGAGCCTAAAATGGGGCTCAATCCCAGGATCCTGGGATCATGACATGAACTGAACGCAGACACTTAACCAAGTGAGGCACCCAGTGCCCCCATAGACTTGTTTAAAAGGAACAGATTTTGTAATTTTCAGACTGGTGAGTTTGCCTGCAAAATAGGAAATTCTGGAAGAGATTATAAAATATAAATCTTGATTCTGTGACCCAATACATTAGTTGTGGCACCTGAAATTCTGTTATATGCAAGCTTCGTAAACATGCTTGCTATGGCATAATTCAATAGGTTAATAAAAATGCTGAACAAGGTCCTAGTTGAAAACAGAATCCAGAAGTGACCTCCTTCCGGGCTGGCACAGTACACTAACAGCATTCCAGGTACTAATACTCCCAGATGTTCCTGTTGAGAGATGCCACGTTTCTGTCATATATATGTCTTGGGGACACCTTGAGTTTTACAAGCAATCCTGTTAAGTCATTTTGCTTTGGTCTCTAGGAAAACCAAATCCAAATCCGCGATTCAAGTCCAAAAATTGATACGCATTCCTGACTCCATCTGACTTTATCCTGACTTCATCCAGCTCTCCTGACTGTGCTCTTCCATTTTCCCTTCGCCTTGACATATTTTTTAAAAACCCTTTATCTTTTTT